CTCTGTACTAACAGCAATGTAGCGGGTTTGGAAATTAATGTTAGTATAACGAAATTCATGATCAGCCGTTATTTTTTAATTCAACACCCAATACCTGTCCTGAGGTTAAAGCCTTTAAAGTATCCAACACCTTATATACCTCAGAAACTTTATCACGAGTAAAAGTGGAATTGACCAAGACGTTACTGCACGAATAATTAAAGCCAAATCCACACCTTTGGTATCCTCAACAACATCTGGAAATCCAGCCACATACCGATTTGAATCTAACTTTGCACCTTTGAGTTCAATGTAAAATCGGTACTTTTTTACTGGTCTAATACTGGTCTCATAATATATGAGATTTAAAAAGACTCAAGACTCATTGACATAAAAATACAAGCCTTTATAAACAAATGCTTGCGGAGAATACTTATGATTAGATAACCCGAGCGAATAAGCAATAATGATCACTGTAACCAAAGAAATCAACAAATGGCGCTGGTTGAGATTAAACACCGTAAATTGCATTGCAAAACAAGCACCTCAGGGATCTCGATGTCCAGTGGCTCCAGCCCAAACCTGGCGCAGAATCATTGAAACTAGGCTTGACGCTGGAAACTACTCCTTAAGTGAAATTTATCATGATGCTCCACGAGAAGAAGAGGACTGCAGTAAGAAAGTAAGTAATACACATACTTAAATATTTAAACTACCAGAGAGACAACCTGATAGATAAAGAAGAACTTTTACAGATAAACATAAATTAATACACTTATATGAATTCAAAATTAATTTATTATGCTGTACTTATCAATATTACACTGTTTATGTTTTTTATAGTCTTAATTAATGGGATGAATAATTAATGGAATTATTCGCTATGGTGTTAAGTGTAAGTACTTTTACTAATCAATATTTAAATCGCATATATGTAGAAGTTTAATTCCATATTCATATTTTTATCTTAGCAACTGTTCTTTTGAAATCAATGAAGAAATTTCCAACCTTCTTTAACTCCAACCGATAGACGAGCAAAAAAATTAAAAGAAATCTCGAAATGGTTATGACAAAAGATAACAAAATTTTACGACATATTTAAGAAAACCAAATGAAAGTAACAAAATGCGAATAACAATAAAAATATTAAACCCATATCGCATAATGCCCCACCGAAGTACAACCTGTCGTGGAATCATCATCAATGCCGAAAATATTCTAATGGGCTTCATGGCCCAAACAAACACTTCCCGCTGTTCAAGCCTCGTAATACGACCGAAGACAGTGTGAGCAGCAATCGTGCGGGGCGGTATATAATAATCATCTATATTCATGGATTAGGTTTCAATTTTCTACAACGGGGGTTAAATTGAAAAAAAAAACATAAATTTGGAATAACAATGGGAAAAATTAAACTCACGCGAATATAAAAATTCTTTTTGAAGGTGCAAGCCAGTCGAACACGAAATTAGAAATACGCGTACGGGATGGATGTACTTGGATGTATAAAAAATTTACAATATTTTGAAAAATTTATGCAAGCAAATATTACCAAAACGCTAATAAATTTCTAAAGATTCGTGGTGGTACAAGGTACTCATTGGGCCGCTTTCTTGAATATGTGCCGTGAAGGTGGCGCACAGAAATATTGTCAGTACATTTATTTTAAGGCGGCATCGCGAATTAATGAATAATACCGACGCTACAGGGGTTAATAAGTAATCTGCATTTTTTGACATTTATTTATGTTCATAAATACAGCAATTTCCATATCCACCAACACCGGAATGGTGCGGAATGGAAAAATTATTACATAGTGAGATATAGCCGAATTGAGAGGCCATAGAGAAAATGAGCAGCTGTTAAGACTGATACAATTTTAATTAAATAAAGAAAATCTTAAATTGAGTACTTAAACGTATTAAATGCTATTACTTCCAGTATGATGAAATATTTACCTTCAACAAATAATCAAATTCAATAAAACATTTTCTTGATTTAATGATTTTTTTAATATTTAGAAGTATTCCTACGCGCATATGACAATTTTATTATAATTAAAATATTTGAAATTTTATCAAAAATCAAAGTAAAATCGCTTTGACAACATTAAGTGTAAATAAGAAGAAAAAAATTTCAAGTTAATTAAATGTGTTCCTCTAATACTTTTATATCAAAGATACATACGGTGAGGATGTGCTCATCCACACTCTTCACTGCCAGCAAGTTGCTCATGTGTACTTGTTTGCTCTTTGGAAACTTTTATAAAGTTTTTACGCGTGTTCATGTGTGTTTACTCAGATGAAGTTTATTAAATTTTGACAGATTTTTGACAGTTATTACTTTTTCTATATGTCAATATTTATTGAGTTTAAAGTGCTTTGAAAATGTGAAGAAGCCGAAAAGACAAAAAGTAATTAATTAACAATGAATGCACATAAAAGTGGATTAAATACTTAAAAAAATGAGATTATATTTACAAATGCGAATATTAAAATATGCTCTACTCATAGAAATAATTTGTATTTCTGCCAAATATAGAAAATGATAATGAGTCAGTATAAAGTGGAAACTAGATTAACAAAAACTCTGAACATAAACATTTTTAATATATTTCCGAAGCCCTAAAATCCTTACATCAAGAAAGCGTTTCGAACCGAATATTAAACCGAAGATTAAAATGATCAAATTCACAGAAGTAATTGAAGCCCATATTATTTGGATGATTGGTTCAAACGCTAACTTAGTTGTACATATTGCACTAGATCAATGGTACCCAACCGGTGGTCCACGAGATGTTTAAAAATGGTCCATGAATCACATTTAACAGATATTGATACATATCTTTCACTATGTATCCACTGAGTTATATCCAGTGTCTTTTTTTCCAAAGATTACTGACGATGAGTCTTTAGTAAATCTCATAATAGCTTTAAGGTCCGCAAAAAAAAACTTAAAGACTCATCGTGCAAAACTGCCAAATCATGTGACATGTATATTCGGACTCGTAATTACTATATATTACTATAGTTGCGTCCTGGTTAATAAAGCATAGCCATCTGGATGTTGCGATTACATTATTGTAATTTTCGGAATAGTATTGGCGGACATGTGGTTGACTCCTTCTCATTACATTATTAATGAGAACTACATTCCTGAGAACTGGGTGTCTCTGCCCCACAATTTCTTATACAGAAACCCACATCTTAAAGTATTATTTACGTTGTTGTTAAAGAATAAGTGATATTATTTAATTAGGAATTAATTGGTTTATAATTTGGTTAAAATATATGAGTTATATTCCAACGAAGATTTCAAGCATCCAAATTAAACTAAATTATTTTATAATCAGTTTTAAAATTATATTAAAATTAAAATTATATTAAAATTAATATAATTCTACATAGTTTACTTTTCGAATTAAATGAAAATTTAAGTTATTTAAAATTAATTATTAAAAAATAATAAAAACATCCGTTCGATATCTAAATAATATTTCGAATATAATATGGATCAGAAACTCAGTGCAGCAGAGAGAAAAACCCTAAATTAAAACAAACCCTACCCGAATAAAATAAATTTAATTATTTTGACACAATGGAAACTAGTTAGAAGTTGCTGATACCAGACTGGAACAACACTTTCTCACTTTTAGTCCCGCTCAATGTTAAGCAGTGACATAATAAATATAAGTAAATGTTCTACCCCTTTCAGACAAAAACGTCATTCTGTTACTTCGGAGGAACCGATTCTGTTAAGTTGATGATGACAATTTTATTTCATACTGCTGAGAATGGTCATTTCTTTCCTTTTTAGGCTGGAAAGTGACCTAGTATATTCCACCAGTAGCCAGGTCTTACGGTTTTTTATTCAGTTATCAATCAGAGACTTAGTTCCGTATCAACTAATCTCATCATGAAACTGCTATCCACATAATTGTTAAGTTGATCCAGTTCTTGTAGGATTAAGTATAGACTTACTGCTATCGATTCCACAAGATTAGGCATGCAGTATATCTTTATATATGAATACGATATCTTCAGTATATAATTATATGAATTTAACCAATTACATTTTTTAGTACATAACAATTATAACAAATATTAAGGCTATTTCTATCGCAACATTCTTAAAAAGACAACTTGTTATATTAAATAATAGATTTTTTAATATTTACTTTTTAAAATTAAATTATAACAACTAATTTGCCAGAATTTATATATATATATATATATATAATTTCTATATATATCGACATATACTACTAGCAATATGCTTCCTTAAAAATTCTTCCCATCAAAAGGAGATTTAAAATACTATTCTCATTCAATTTCTCATTATGTTATATTTACCATTAAATTTACTAAATTTTTATTTGAATATACCATATATATTTGAAAATCAAGATATGACTGATTATAATATCTATAATTGCCAGATCGCTTAGATAAATTTTAGATAGCAAAATTTGTCAGACTAATCACTATACTGTCAACTATTTTGACATAGACTCAATTTATAGACATAATTAAAAAATCAAATTATACTCAAATTATTTTAAAATGTATTTAAATTAAATGGTTTATAACTTTATTCGGAATTAGAAGTGCGACCTAAATGATTGCTGTGAATTCGGTGAAGTAAAATAATTTCTATTGCATCAAAAAAAAAAAAAGGCAGACGTAAATCAATTAAAATTATTACAGCAGCAGCAATATAATTATATTTTCAGTATCTCGATGTATATTAATATTAAATAATGAATACGTAAATCTATATAATGTAGATGAATTAAATGTGTTATTTTTTTTTTTTTGCAGTAAATTGAAGCCGCGTGTTCGAAATATAATTGTCGCGAAAACAAAATAATTGATACTTTTGAACTAATTTCACTGCCCATTTTAACACATTATCGCAAAAACTTATGTCCCCAATTAAAATAATTCCGCTTCACGCTTGGATAGGTTTATTCAGCGACTCAGATTATATGCTGTCTCGGGTATAAAAGCTTTGAGGTTTTGGAAGATTGCAGTAGTTTCGGAATAACGCATTATCCACTAAAGTCAAATAAAATGAAACATATCGTAGCTATTTTATTCATATTGAGCGCTTTGCTCTGCAGCTTTGCGGTAATATAAATTCTAGATACTTAACAGGAGTTGGTAAATTTTTGTATACTTTTAATACAGGCTGCCTATCCACAATCGGGTCCTTGTGGTCCACCACCTAATGGCGTGCGCCCCAGCGGACCACCACCAAGTGGTCCTCCACCAACTGGCAGAGGTAAATAAATGCTTGCTAATACGAATGTGATTTATTTGCTTATATCCTTAAAATTTAATTTTATTATTGCTTAGGTCCTTGCGGTCCACCAAATGGTCAGCGTCCAACGGCATCAACAACCACTGCTTCCTCAGGTTAACATGCCAGGAGATACTCTGCTGGAATTGTGATTTTCAAACATTGGCTCAAGCAACAAATTATGCATAAATATTTAATAAAAATTTTAAAATGAAATAAATATTTTTATTTAAAATTGCAAACATGCAAGGCGTTGGTATTTCCCCAACAACTGTATTTCCACTTCTGTATCTGAAGTGGCAAATAAGTCTAATAGTATTCAAGGGTTTATGTTAGCATTGAAATATTGCTTCATAGCATTTTAACTACCGCAGTAATAAATTCTAACTTAATTATAAGGACAACCAGCTAGAGTTTATGATATAAACAATTCAATGCTTTACTAAATGTAATAAAAAAAAACAATTGTATTCATGGTTTAAAAATGATTATCATATCTCCAAATACACAATACTACTAAAGCTTTATTATTATATTAAACAAAACATATATTTTCTACCCTTAATAGCAGGTGTGAAATTCTGTAGATATCCGAATCACGTTGTATTTGACTATAAAAGCAGTTAATAGAAATTCAAATTCATATCTACAAAACGAAATAAATAATATTCTATAGTTCGAAAATCTGACTGGTGAGTTCATATATTAAACGTTAAATACTAAGCTTAACCAACAATTTGCGTTGGTATATATTGAAAATATGATGGCTAGCAGAAAGAAACAAGAGACCAATCAAGAAAACATTATAGCTCAAATTAAGAGGTTATGAAAAAATTGATTGGGTCATATCTTAAAAAATCTTGAAACGAAATGTCTTGCAACAATAGAATACAACTTTCAAAGCTTCAAGACAAGCAATACGGAACGACGTCAATAGAGTCAATAAATTTTATCTCCAACGATATCTAGATAAAATCTATATAATATACAGACTACCTCAGCAGCATTGTAATGAAGAAAAGTGTTGCAGAAGAATATATACTTGTGCGTATAAGCAAATCAAGTGCTACTTTTGGTTAGTTTCGAATACTGATTAATCACATAAGCCTGCTCCAGTACAACTCAAACATTAAATCAGTACTACCTTTTACGTCTGAAATGTTGCAAAACTCAATATAAATACAGAATCGTCTATAATACTTCTTTGACATATATTTGTGTCGCATTCTTTAAACACGCCGGCTTGAAAGAATTTCTGATGTGGTATTGTAGAATTTCACCAACCAACCAAAAACCATATATAACCAGAAAATGTATGTGGTGGAAGAGAAATTGGTAATATAGCAAGGCAAGCATTGCAGTTGAAAAACCCAAGAACCCACTAGCAGAAATACGCCGCCGAACTCATGATCAAGAACTTAATATTATCAATTACGTGATATATGTGGACTAAAGACACCTGAAGATTGGCACATAGTATACGATTAGGATCGATTTAGATGTAGACCATACTCTAGCAGACATTAAGGAGTACAGCTATGTAAATATATCATCAATATATCAAACAAACCTTATTTGTTTCATATAGCATTACAATTCTAGTATCTACGATTTATATGATATTTCAATGCTCTAGCAAGAGTTCAGGAATCGATATATCTAACAACCCTCATTTAGATTGACTAGATGAATACGATTAATATTAATATTGGTGGAGCCGCAGTACTCTACGGCTACTTACGTATATACGGGCATCCAAAGCTCCAGCAGACTTAAAGAATATGGCTACTTATATACTATATCATCGATATATTAAACAACCCACTTATAGATCGATCAGATGAATACGATTAACAACGTTTTAAATGAAGCTAACATATAATATTCTAACAGCAGTTCAGGAAAGTTCATATAGTTAGCTATATGATCGATATAGCTAACAACTCCCATATATATCAAATATATGGACATCTAAATCTTCAGCAGAATTTAAAGAATATTGCTACTTATATATATCATCGATATATTAAACAATTCTCAAATATTACCTATAGCATCACAGTAAAGTAAATAAAAAACTTACTTAAACCTATCTTAGATTTCTATTCATTATTCAACCTCCCCATTACTTAGGTTAAGTATCTTTCAATTGTCGGTTGTGTAGATTTAACCCTTAGTGTTTTAATAAAAATGCTTTTACTCTTCAACGATGTGCCGCATTATGCGAATTATTAGTGCTAATAAAAAACTTTTCAAACATAATAATTTTAAGAAAAATCTTTCTTGAAACATAAAGGGATTACTTTTAAGTTTAGATGGGATTAGGAGATTTCGTAGGAACTAAAGACATTTTTAAAGTTCTAATATTAGAGATAAGCAAATTAATGATCGCTCTTTTTTCTTTCTTCGCCTTAATGTGCACTTTAACTTTTGGGCTTTGTTGCTTAATAACCCAATCCTTCATATTATTGCAAAGGAGTATTTACATAAATATATATATATATATATAAATCTCACTCTTTATATGCACAAATTCATCAAAGTTTGCATTCAATCAAGTTTTGTTTAAAATCATAAAACAAAACTTTCTGCAATATTTTTGGTTTATAATAATTCTCAAGCGTATTTTGTACTAGAAATTAATTTTTCTTTCTCGCTTTGTTTTTGTTTTTGTTATTATTATTGTTTTTTATTAACCAGGAAAAATCGTAAGTTGTAAGTATTCTATTTGTATCTATAAGCCCCAACTCGAATGGCTGGCTCGAATAGCTCGAATGGCTCGAATAGCTCGAATGGCGTATCAATGCTTGGATTGCAAGTATCTCAAAAGTTTCCCTTGGTTACTCATTTGCGTATCTATTGCCGTTGCTTTATGAAGCTCATTTGTAATCATTGCATTTCTTTGGCTTTGGCTTTAGCTTTGGATTTGCCTTCTGTAAACGTACTACTGTAGAGTTTTATATATTTTTTTATTACTTTTATTATTTCTATCTTTAATATTCGTATATTTTGCTATTTGGTATTTGGTATTTTGCTATGGCGTTACTTCCGCCATTGCAGCAAAACTAATAAAACTTTATCTTTTTTAATATGGGTACAAAATATTGTATAATATTTTTCAGTACTACAGATTGGCAGTGGTTTAATGGTTGGAGTACGAGTATTGTAGGTTGTGTTGTCTCCTTTATAATCCCAATTCCTGTGGCTGCTCTTATTGCTATCGTCTTTATTGTTGTTGTTGTTGTGATTATTGTTGTTGTAGTTGTATCGTTCCTGTTGGCACTTGTTTGTATTGAGCGCGAAAAATTTATTTCGTTTTTGGCGCTTAAGCTTTTTTGATGAAATCTTCCCAAAGGTATTGAGCATAATTTCTCTGTCTGGTTTTAACTTTATGCATTGAAGTAGATTTGAATTTTTTAAAATATGCTAAAGTTAATAACAATCTGCTTCAAAAGAAATTGCGAAGATTTCCTTAGAAACGTACGTTGTCGTTTTTATACATAAAATTTACTCGAAAATTGGTAAAAAGTTTAATTTTAACTTTTCAGGAAAGTCAATGAAAATTTTCTGAAGTGATGTTGTTGAAAATGAAATACTTAAACTTCAATCATTTAAATTACATCATAAAGTATTTTTATGTCGTATGATATGTACGTTATCATAATTAATATTTAATTACATTGAGCAAAAAGTTTTTGAATCATGCATGTAGGTACCTGAAGGTTTTTAAGCACCAAGATAGGTCTGTTTTGTTTCATCAAAAATTGGACTAAAAATAAAGTTGTAATGTAGATGTAGACCATACATCTTAAATTTTTATAACTTCCTGTTCCTGTTATTACAGATTTAAGGAAAACTAATAATAATTATATGATTAATTACCAATTAACATACAAGTACCATATATACCATATGGTACTTAAATATAGGTTACTTCTTTAGCGTTACCAGCCAAAAATACTTTAATCCATGCACAATTTTTTTTTTCTTTTGCGATGCGAAAGTGCAAAAAGATCTCCATATATCTTATTCATAGATTGAAATAGGTATGTTGATAAATGTTTATTTTAATGCTAAATGTTAGTTAATGCGAGCCACATATTCACGTAAGGAGCAAAACATCTAATTATATGCAAATAGGTTTGTTTTTATGTTTATATTGCAAATGCACACATTTCGAAACAAGATCTCGAAAACGACTAATATTGAAAAAGAGACAAACAAATAAACCTAAACGAGCCCTGGACGCAAGCTAACGAAGAAAAAAATTTGTTAATAGAGAACCAACACAGAGACTCTACCCTGAAGTATTCCCGATAAAGTTCCAATGTAGAAACGGTCTGGCACACGAGCGAGATTGTTTTAGAAACAAAGCGAATTAAAATAGTATTAAACAGTATGAAACTGATTATTGTGATTTGACTGTTTGCATAACACGTCTTTATGGTAAACATAATCATAAATAAATACAACTAGTTTCATTTTAGTTTCATTTAGTTTTGATTTCATTTGAATTGCATTATAATAATCTAGAGTATTTGACGCAATTTACAATCAAACTCTGTGGATAGCGATAGGAAACGATTAATAGCTGTTAGCTGCTATATCTTTTGCATAAATTAAAAACTGTTTCTGTTTTAGACGTTGACGAAGTGGCCTATTATTAATTTAATATTGGAAAAAAGGTTAAAAATAAAGAAGAAGAATAAGTCGATATGAAATAGAGTAAGTTATTTTAACGACAATCAAATATATAAACTGATATCATATTCTTAATATTTAAAACTAACAATGCAGCAGCATTTAAAAATTATTTTTATATAAGTAATAACTTTTACTACAGTAGCTTCATTAATAAATCAAATATCACATTTTCCGTAAAGAAAAATCCGAAACCATGTCAGTGGGCGAACCATTGATCTGTCAGTGTATACTGAAAAGTACTCTTTTTATTGATGATGATGGTCTAGTAATTATACCTTTTTTGTTCTAAAAAGAAGAAAAAGCAAAATGTTGCCATAAATGTTGACAGAATCATGAACCATGAAATATATATTTGCTTGTATGAGTGATAATGCTCTGAACGTCTTTCGTCTTCAACACTACTGTGGTACATGATATGTTATATTATCAGCAAAATCAACGAGATATTACGGCAAGTGTTTGATAATTATACTATATTCAGAAATAGACTTGTAGCATAACCTTCTTATTCG